TTTGTCATTATCGTTTTTCATAGGGATAATAGCAATATCAGCATTTTGACTTAGTTTTAAACAAACACAGTCTCTAGAATATCAGAGCTCAAACTCAGACGACTGCAACAAGATCTCTAAACTATTCACTGTTCAAAAATGTCATTTCCCAACTGCAGTTCCTTTTGGCAGAACACTGTATAGCAGCTAACAGGACAAAAGAGTCCTCACAAAACAGATGCCTTATTGGTATAGCAGATAAGGTGCAAAAAATAAAATACAAAAGTCAGGATTTGCTCTCAGGGAGCTGCTGAAAATTTCAAGGCAAAGATGTATGCTTTCCAGCAGCAGGAAGGCTGCAGAGCCTTGATTCAAAAGAAATCTGGAGAGGCCCTCTAGCGGGCTGACACCGCACTGCTCGGCACCACAGAGCAGCGCCCGCACACCTCACCCGGCTGCAGCTCCATCCGCTGCACCGCTCACAGCAAGGCTGGAGAGCCGCTTACTGACTGCAGAAAGCCCAAGTGCAAACAGAGCACGAAGCCCCTTCTTCTAGCCTCCGATTAGAAATATTCCATCAGCCTGTTCTCAGCCTTTGGATGCATTCTCATTTGCTTCAGAAAAACAGAAGATAGGCTTGTTTTACCATGTAGGTCACTAGCCTGCGAGACCACCCCAGGGCTTTCATGCAGACTAAATGACATCAGGTCAAGGGAGGTTTGCAGGAGCACAAACTCAGATGTGCATTTAGAATAAGGATTCCAGACATTATTCAGGCTACGTGAAGGGGTCTGAAGTATGCTCTGCCAAGACTTTTTAGCCACTGGCAGTTTCAGGTAGGAAGCAGATAGATCATTCTAACTGCATTCTTAAGGCAACTCCTTCTGGGAGAAAGAGTTTGGAATTCTTTACGTGAACTCAAGCAGACCACCATTCCATGTGCTGTCACATGAAAAATAACCTAGAGAACACATTGCAAACACTTAGATAACAGAACAGGGCAGCTTAAGAAGGCCTATTAACAAGATCTCAGAGTTAAAAAGGAAATCGCTTGTTTTGAAACGAGTTGATGATTCACCTTTCAGTCTTTAAAAGTCTTTTCTTGCTGTTTTTAGGTTTGCCTTCAACTCACATCAGTTCTATATTTTTCCAAATTCCCTACTTTGGAACCTTCAGCATTACAAGCTACAACTTAACTCTCTTATAAATAACTTTTGTGATAGCCTCTCTTTCAGCTGCTACATTCAAAGCGTCTATCAATCGGAGAAGGACCGCAAATTAAAGTAGACATTGTTAAGAAGATAAGCAAAGAGCTGACTGTTCTTCAAAACAGTATCAAATACATGGCACTGGTATCTTTGTGCCATAGAGCAGTGCTTTGGGAAAGAAACAAACCATATTACAGAGCAGTCACCTGTAAAGAGAAATACTTGCACTCGCATTCTTCTGACTTTGGACTCCATCTGGTCCATCCCTCACCTAAGCAGCATTAACAGCGCTGCCATAATGGAAACTCACACCTTGAAAATCACTTGATACAAGCATTCATGCAGCAAAAAAGGAATAAACTAATGTGCTTGCTAGTGTCTTATCATCAGATACCTGATCAAAAAACAAGCACAGTTTCTTAATCTTTTTGGACCAACCATCACTGACCAGGACCATTTCACACAGCAATTACAACAGCAACTTATTTTGAAGTGGTTCTACGAAGGTCTAGTACGTCTAGTGTACGTCCTTGGGAATCAGTAAAGGGTAGGAGCTACTTGGAAGGATTCTGAGTTACTTTAAAGTAAGTTTGCAACAGAAAAAGTCCAAAAGAGACCTCCGTGATTAAAAAGAACTGGATCTGAATAGGATCAGTTAAGGATTCTATTCTATTGATGATGATCCCATCCTATTGATGATGAACAACACAGCACGCTATGAAAATGCTCCTTAAATTCCTTGAGTCAAGCAATTCCTATCTCAGGAATTAACTTCTTGAAACTGACCTACTTTATGATAGACATAACAGAAGAAAGAGTTTACCAGACTCTAAGGACATTGGAAGGAAGGAAGGATGGATGGACTGGAAACATAATATTCAACACAGCTGCTGAATGAGATATAAGACAGCATATTAAAAGAGATGCATGCATTTGAGTGATTTCAGGAGCAGCTGAACTCATTTATAAGGACATAGCAGGGAAGAAATAGATACGTTTTTTTTTTTTTTTTTAAAAGCTTTTTGTGTGTTTTGTTTTAAGTCACAATGAAAAATTTTGGCAATAGTTTGAAAGAAAAAACAAAGCAAGTCTTTTTAAAAGAGGGTGGTCTACATAATAGGGAGAACTTAAAGAAGAAAACGTTTAGGAAATGTTCTTTCTTGTCTGATAAGTTGGTAACTTGCTCAGACTTGCTCTAGAAGTATTAATCCACAGCACCCACTACAACTGCCACTGCTCCTCCAGAGGGTTGCTTCTACCATCACACTGAACCATTTCAGTGCTCCATGGCTGTGCAGGCAAACGCTGCTCACCCGGCACATAAAGATCCAAGAGCCATTTTGAAATGGCAACACTTGTGAATTTACAAATGAATGTTTCGAATGTTTCAACATCGAAAGCAGTATTTTACATAGTGTTTTCAATAGCATTTCATCCTCTTATTCATCCTTTAATTTCTACCTCTATGTATATTATTTGCATAGTATGCTACAGTAGTAAAAGTAATGCATACTCTCAAATAGTAAGTACACTTAGAGTGGGGGTGCACGAGCAGAAAGTTCTGCTGTTTTGTGTTGGTTTTTTTTTTTTCTTACTGATAGGGATTTGTGATCAAAGTCGTTTGGAGAGCACTGCTTTATGCAACTTCAGCAGCAGCAAACTGGAGCACCATTTCCTCTTTTGCTAGGATGCAGTAAAAATAACGGAGGGAAAATGACACGCAGGGAGAAGCATTCGATTGGGCTGCATTTCCAGTTACTCAGAGAACTGCAAGTTTATCCGCAAGCAATTAGTGATTTTTCAGCAAGTTAAGTGCTTAGCTTACACTACATCTGGCAGATGAGCAACCTTTGGAAGTCCCATAAGGTTCTGATTTGTGTCTGGATGCTGCCAAAGGCCATTCAAAACCTTATTCCAAATAATTTAAGACTCAGGTCCGCTGACTTCCAAAGAGATTTAAAATTCGAAATACAGCAATAACTTACAGCACTACACCACTTGGCCAGCTCTGATGCAGACGTCAAGCCAGCCTATTTAAATCCCTTTCAAACATTTACCCAAAAAAAAAAAAAAAAAAAAGAAAAAAGTACCTCTGCTAGTCAGTCAGCAGAATTCCACCCTCCCCATCTTATAACCACCTACCAGAATATTCCCTTCAGTTCTGTAATGGCCATGGATAAATAAGTGAAACACTGCAGTTTCTAAAATCTCAGGGAAGTTTTATTTCATGGATATACATTATTATAAGGAATAATGAAGCCAGGCAAACCATGTTGACAAGACCTTCTGCTTAAAGAATAGGCTGTCCTGACTAATGTCACTTCTTCCACCATTTCTATTCCTGTGAGAGTGACATGAATTATCAAGAATCATGCATTTTGAGAGAAATTCCTATCTGCCTGAAATGCTTCCAAGCAGTACATTGCATTGATTCCAGCTAAGAAATTTTCAGTATGCATCCTCTGAAAAAATAAAAAAAAAAAATCAGCATTCAAAGCTTTCAAATAGCTGAGAGGACAGGAAGAGCAATGCCTTTCACATGGCACCTCTCTCACGTACTTTGATGTCAAGCAACAAACACCATGAAACAGAATGATTAACCAATTTGTTTTTCCAGTCATGCATCACATCTCTTCAAGTCCTACCACCAAGAGTTCACAATACACTGTAATTAAAACAGGCAGTTCTCTCCCAGAGCAAGGACATCACTGTGTGACCATGTCATTATTTACAGCGCCAATTTAATACCACACTTCAGCACACTGTGACGTTTGAGCACACAGTGACCAAGGAGACTAAGCACTCCTTGAACCAGTATCCATAACTACAGAATCCAGTAATAACAACAGATCTGTGTCCCCTCTGTAGGTTTTTAATGAACTGGTTGTATCCTGACAGACCAGATCCTCTTAAATCTCCGACACAGCTCTAAGAAAAATGTTTCCATCTGTTCTTCATTTCCTTACCTGGCAGTCTGCACAAGCTAAAACAAATATATGTAACCCCTGCAAATCTAACTCTGGCTGCTCTTTTTGTTTTATAAAATAATAATCCTTTTGAGCATCTTAACTCTCATACCTCAGTACAGATACTGCACATATGCACATACTATTCACATATGATAACAGCAAAACAGTTTCAGATGCTTTACCTTTCTCTTCCAACTTTGTATTTCACAATAGAGCAGCAATGCAAATGCATTTTAATGACCTTCATCAGATCAATCATCATTTTACATGGATGTCATTAGTACACAGCATTCCTTATCTACTTCTAGGAAAGAATCCGTCCCTATAAGTCTTCTGCACGCAGCAATCTTTCACATTTTCTTTTCCCAGGAAGGTACAGCCAAACATGCTCAGCAAAGTCATTTCATCTTAGGATAACACTTTTCAAACTAACAAGGTCTCCTTTTACTTATCTTTTCTAAACACTTTCCACATTTGACCATAGAAGCAAGGCACTCTAAACCAGCTCAGTTTGTTTCTCTTCTGAACACATTATTTTATTCATTTTTAAGCACCCTACTACAAAAGAGCAAGGGCAGCACTAGAAGGTACGCCCAGTATTGAAGTATAACAAGATTAGCACAACTGTGCTCTGGTGGATCTTCAGATCCTCAGCTAAGACTCAGGTATGAACCATTCCCTGGTTACTTATGACCCCCTCCATGCCTTTCAGGCAGACACTTGTTCAGGATTATCTTCTCCCTCATTCCTGTGTTCAGTTAATATTAGTAAGATCACAGTTTGCATGCAGTGTAGGCTATTTGCAGATCTGCTGCCACATCTGGCTGCTTTTTACACATCCTACCTGTCTGCGCCACCAAGTGAGTCCAACCACTCCAAACTGCTCCAATCTTTTCATGTGAGAAAAACTGAGTGTCGATCTTCTTGGGCTCAAGAAGAAATATCTCTTTGCTCACCAGCTGCCCATGTTTGTTGCTACCCCAGACATAGAGGAGTCCTTCACCTGCAGTTGATAAAGAAGTAAAATAAGCTGAAAGTGACACACACAGAACAACACCAGATACATTACTTGACTCAGCTCACAGAATGGCCAGGGTTGGAAGGGACCTCAAGAATCATAAATCTCCAAACCCCCCAGCCACATGCAGGGCCACCAACCCCCCCATTCAATGCTAGACCAGTGAACAGTTAATGAATATACCAATGTTACGGTATAGCAGTGTACAATTAAAGAATATACAGATTTTATGGTATAACAGAGAGCTTGGCTATGATGTTATTACACCAAAGCAGGAAACAGAAATGATAGGTGCATTTGCCCTACCCTGGGCTCGTATGGGAAACTCCAGTGGAGTGGATCTCCAGAAGAGATCCTTCCCTACTTGTGGTCAGCTCTTAAATGGGTCTAGGAGAGGTGCAGCCAGGCTCCACCCCTTCCAGCAGCACAGGAGAATTGCCTTCACCTGTGCTCCCAGGGCTGACTCAGTGCTCACCTCAGGTGATCAATCAGAGGCTCAGGCCATGATTCAGCAGTCCCCATACAACCAGCCTGCCCAGTGATTTTGAGGAAAGGAGGGTCTCTTTACCACATGCACAAAAGCTGTAATCAGAACATGAGAAATATTTGCCAGGGTTTTAACAACAAAATGTGTTTTCTGAGGGCTACGCTGACTTCCTGAGACAACCAGGGTTTTGAGGTTGAGGTCCATCCAGGCTTAATTTCTGCTCTGAATTTCTGAAAGATGACTGAAACACAAAACTTTGCCTTTGCTGTAAAGGTAAGAGAGCTAAGTAAAGTAGAAAATAACTTAGAGAAAAAGCTTTAAGTATTTTGAGGTCATTCACTGAGCACTCCCTCTCTGCCCACTCTGTCCTTGCAGGCCAGCTTTTACCTCCAGCCCAAAGCTTAGACTCAGTCCAGTAGATAACCTGAAGAGCAGCAAATAACACAACTCCCCTCAAGCGCTTGGGAAACTTGAACAGTCTCCCAGTCTCTTTACAGGAGCTACAGGCTCCCAACTCCACTTGTAACTCTGCTGCTGAATTCAGCTTGAGCATATTCAGTAAATCCTCAAAAGCAGGGATGGTCTAATGCTCCCTACCCCATCCTGCTCAGTCACTTTCTAAAGGAATATGATACACAGCTAAGAACAGGTAGGTAAAGCAGGTACTACCCATCACAAAGCAAAATCAAAGTATTATCATGTCTGAAAGCACTACTATACAACTACTAAGAGACTTCTGTAAGTAACTGTCTTCCCCCACTCTCTTTGCAGAAGAAGCATTTATGCAAGTACACACTCCAGGATTCCACCCACAGGGATAATTATATTTACAGAAACATGCATTTGCTTCGTGTGGCTCCCCAATACGAGTTGGAGAAGCTCACAGCCTAACAGCCAATTGACAGTAACGAGGTAAGTGTTCAGATGAGTCCTTCTGCAGATACTAATCATCATTAATCCAATCTTTTCAGCATCAGATGATTCAGCTCAGGTTCTAGACCTCCATATTAAAAAAAAAAAACATAACCTGTAATAAGCAGAACATGAGCTGTGCCAGGCCTCCTGAAGTCAGTTCATTCTGCGCAAGCAAGAGAAGTCATGCACACACCAAGTACATGTTCACAGGCCAAGAAAGTCTGGAGATTGAAATCTCCAACACAAAGTGTCATTCAGATCCCCCTGCCCCCTTTATTTATTGATAAAAAGAAAAAATAACATTTGCAACAATACACTTCAACCCTTGTATCAAAAGCCTCCCGCTGACTGGTGTTCAGTGTCCTACCAGCAGGTGGCTCGTGGGACAGAGCCCAAGAGAACTGCATTGCTCAGCAGGAAATTCCTAGAAAAAAATCTGCAGTGATGCTCACTTAATAAATAGTACACTCTACAGTAACTTAAATAAATAAGCATCCTTAGAAGCTAATGCAGATGGAAGGGCAGCAATACCAGCATATCATTGAAAGCTTTGACCTACTTTGTTAGATGTGGTTGCCCTGTTGCCAAATAGATTGCTCTCAAAAAAAAAAAAAAAAAGAAAAAAGAAGCAATGATTTGCTCACTCTAAACACACAGAAAGTGCTAATTAGCCAAAGCAGATTCTATTTGTCCTGCCAGTTGTTCACTAATCACATACAGACTTTGCATCTCAGAACTCACTGTAATTCACATCTAACGTTTCCCCATGCAATTCCATCTCTGCATAAGTGTAAGCAGGCTCTGCAGCACTCCATTTGATGATGGCAGAGGTACCAGATGGCTGCATATTTGCAAAGAACTCCTGACGTTCTGTAAAGATTTGTTTTCATACAGTTCAATACACTTCCCACATTTTAGAACTGTAAGTTTACAGATGCAAAGCTATTCTCTTTCCCCATCTCTTGGTCTGCCAAGAAATAAAAATAAATAAATAACTTTTCTTACACCAGCACAACCAGATACTTAGCACCCAGAGCAGGAGCACTGGGTAAGGAACAAATGCCCTAAGTTATGCAAATGTCTAAGTGATAAAGCAGTTTCCCACTGCTTTTAATATGCTTGGAGCTCTTACACCACCTCACACAGGTGTGTGTGCACGCTGTAACTGCAGAGCCAACAAGACCTCTCGCTCATGCACAGCACAGCCAACTTTCCAGTTGCAGGAGGACAGCCACAGCAGCCTTTCACAACACAGCCCCATAACACTCCTTCCCATTGGCAAAGGGTTGCACTCGGGCCAGGGCTCATCCATTCGGTCACCCGACGCAGCAACGCCTGCTGCAGAAATCTATGCAACCAAGTGCTTTCACAAATCTCTGCAGTTTCTAACCACTAAGAGCCCAGAGCCTTGCTTATTTCTAAGGGCTGTGTCATACCCGACCCCATGAATAAAATACAAAGAACACAGTGAATCCAAGTCTTATTAAGATGGAAGGCCCCAGAATCCAAAACCACTACAGGATGGCTAACCAGCATTATGCCACAACACACCGATCAGCCAAGCCGAAGCTGACAGACACTTCCAAAGCACAGAACCCCCTTATATGTTGAGACAAGGACTTCTATGCCTACACCCAGGGCCTACCTGTAAGAGACACACAATGGTAGGAGCCTGCGGCAACTCTCTTCGCCTTCACATCTTCCAGGCCTAAGGAAAAATTAGTCTTATAAACTTGTACAAAATATATCATTTTGTGCACAGCCATGAAGTTATATCAATGTATGATTGTATGATAATGAATTTTATAACGAAAACCCCTGCTTCTGGGTCACAGGTGCTAAAAGACGCAGCACCATTGTTCCCTGTGGATTATGAATTTGTACAGATTCTGTTTCAGATGCTCCATACTTATAACACCAAGCAGCTTCATAAAAAGAAACATTACATATCACTGCAAAATATATTTCAGCTCTGTCACCTTGACAAAGAAGTCAGACTCCAGGATTACCTTTTATTTCACAGGGTTCCTTTGCAGTCCAGAACAGAGGGAGGCTTTTCCCCTGGTGCGCACGCTTTGCCCGAGATGCCATGCCAGTTCCCCACTGAAACACCAAACCACTCTCTTCCCAAAGTGAACACACAGAGATTAAAACACAATCACCACCAATAAAATCACTTAACTCAACTGAATAATTAATTAGTTTTATAAGCACTTTCATTTTCACTGATTCGAATTATGCTTTGCATGTTCTTTATGCCAAAACCAAACTTTACCAGGGTTATCCTTCTAGACAACAACTACAGTCTCATTGCACAAGTATAAATAGTAGCTAAAATTCACCCTTTTTTTTAATTTTTCCACCCCATCTAGGTCATTAAAACACATTAAGAGTGCTCTTCATGTGTTCCAGAAATGAGAAAACAATAACATATTTACCTGTAGCAGCAAGGGCATGTCTCAGTCCTGCAGCAATACCCACTACTTTCTCTTTGAGGGACTGCTCGAGTAAAGAAACAAACAAAAAAAAATGTTTCTCATATTTTTGCCTCTAAAAAGCAGAATATGCTGAACACATTTGTGGGGCACAGTGAAAATAGCTCTCGATTCCAGCCTGCACATCACAATGCACACCAACGTATTACTGTTTGCTTTTAGAAGATGTTCCTATTAACTTTTGTCAGCCATGCTTCACTTCCATCCAAGCACTTAAAAGGACACAAAGCAAAAGAAAATATTTCAGATGAATGAATGGTCCACACTGTCACTGCCACCACTTTCAAGGCACTACACTGGAGTGATGTTCTGTACCCTTGTTGCTTCCTGGGTGCATCAGGTGAGGAAAGCCCTACTCACTAGAGGACCAATAGCTGTCCTTCCTTCCCTACAATAACCAGACTGTCACAAAATCCAAAAATCACAACAGAGCAGTGACTGGCATAGACCACGAGGCTACTGTTCCTGTCTGAGAGTCCTTTCTGCTCTCACTTGCGTTACACAGAGAGGATGTAAAAGCATTTCATTAGCATTCTTCAAGTAAGAAGCTACAGTGTAAATTAGGGATTAATTAGAATTCCCATGAGAAATTTATTTACACTGTTAGGCTTACAGCCAACACTAAAGAAGATTTTTTTGGTATGGAAGTCTCAGTTCTTACCACTTAGAGCATTTTAATGCAAACAGTTTGAGGCTACATTCAGAGCTCCCTACCCACAGCGGTGCCTCACCTCCAGGTATCACCACAGATCTCCACACAACCTACAGGAGCAGCACCAGCTCTGTTGCCTTTAGCACTTACAGTTGAAGGTAGTGGACAAGAGAGAAACTGTTAGCTAACTCTCCATCCTATTTCCTTGGAAGCTCGTTGACAAACTAATTTTGTTCAACTTGGACACAGGTTTTTTTTTCCAAGGGGGGATTACTGCTGGTCTATTTTGTTCTACATGTTCCACCCTTCAAATTGTGAGTCACAAATGTTGAATGAGGTATAGCAAAGGTAGGAACAGCCTGCAGGCGTATAACCTATCTGGTCTCTTACAGACTCAAGGTAAAACTGCAGCTGAAGTAAACTTCTGTGGTTTTGGTAGCTTTAGCATCACTTTACAACACCTGAACAGACATTCTGCAGATGTTATCAAGATGTGTTACATGAAACACCCTCAGCTCTAAGGACAAAGACAACTTTCTGTTGTAAGTGGGCAGCTCCCTCACATAACAAAAGAAAGCAACTGTAGCATTTCATTTCTGGGTCAAAGACCACCACTGGTTGTCTACTCAGTAAATTTACTTCATCAGATAGACTCCTTTAAAGCAGTTGAAGAGTCAGGCTTAAAAGCTCACTGAGGTCACCAGACCTTGTCAATGCTGTAAGCAACAGAATGCACAGAGCTATAGAGCAGTTCCTTTTAAATCCTTACCTCGACCTTTTGTGGAATCAAGCACGGGCCTGAAATCTGGGGAACTCCTAGTTGCCCAAAAGCATTAGACCCACAGGACAGAACAAGGCCAGCTCCTGCAAACGAAAGCATTAGAGAGTGATCGGGATATCTTTGAGCAAAAGCAAAGTATTGTAACATTACAGTAGGCAAAAAAACAGTGAAATAACTGGAAAAAAAAAAAAAAGACCTAACATCTCCCCTTCTCAGGTCTCTGAGGCCACAGACTTCTGATTTTACAGCATAATGTTAAGGTCTGCAGCTCACACACAATAGCTTTCAAGCAGCTTAAAACCTGAGAGTGCACAAGCAACAGCAATGTGAACTGTCAGCGTGTTCTCCACACCCCCATACTCCCCCAACTCCTGCAAAGATGGGCTTACCTCCTAGTATGATTGTAAAATCCCAGCCACAGGCCACTTCTTGCACACAGAAGCCAGACAGGGCAGCGCACAGTGTAAAACAGAGCACATTTTCTGTGTGATTCAATCCCAACTGCCCTTCTTTGTTATGGCCACATACAAAGAGTTCTCCAGCACCTGGAATAATTAAAAAAAAAACAACAAAATCCCACTCAATTCACAGAGAAGCACATATGCAATGAGATCCTGCAACAAAGACAGTAATGATGTGTCATTTAATACACTGAATTGCACAGAGACAGCTACTTCTGATGAACCAGAAACATCTTTGAGTAAGCACAGATGTCAAGAGCCAAGGAGGACAGCTCATACAGCAAAACAAAAACCTGTTTTCAGAAGAATTTCATACCATTCACACCTGCTCATATCCCTTTGTTCCCGTAGTTAACTATGGCATAGAGCAGAACCTTCTGAAGACCAGATGCTATTTCCTGTTCCTTACCTTCTTCAGATTGAATAACACCCCATTTGACTCCTTCCCTCCTCATCCTCAACAGAGGACAAGTAACGGTTTTGTATTAAAAGCTATTCTGTCAAACAGGTTTAGAAATTAGCCTCACAAGGTCATTAAACAGACACAGAAGATAAGTAAACAAAGGAATTTCTCCAAAGTATTAAGTTGATAGGCCCAGGGGGAGCCTGTTTTACAACTAAGAATTGATACTTGCTCAGACACAGAAGCAGCATATAGGTGGCAGCACCGCACCAGAAAGGAAAGACATTTTCTCCTGGCTGTTCAAGTCACGCACTCCTTGCAAGAGCAATGATCTTACCAGTGATAACTGCAGAATGTCCTCCTCCTCCAGTGATGCTCCTGATGTCTTGACATTTGCAGGAAACATCTTTCAGTGTCTGAGGTACCAGCACATCCTCTTTATGACCAAGGCCAAGTTGTCCATAGCTGTTTGCACCCTTCAAACACACACAAATAACATGGGGAAAAAAAAAGTTAACGACAAGAGATGCACGTAGCTCTCCTCCTGCACCACCGGGTTCATCGGGAACATGGCACGGGTTAACCTGACACTACCTGCTCCCAAAGGACAATCTTCACTCTTACAGCCATCACACAGGTGCTCAGAACTACAGAGCAGGGCCGTCTCAGATCTGCTGCCACTAAGGCCACCCTTGCAGCCCATATTTCACTGTTCTGTACAGGAATTATGCTTGCTAAGACTGCAGGCTAACACCTGGCAAGGCTGAAGGCCTCCTTACAAATGAGAGCCACCTGTTCAGTGCTAATGGTGCTGTTCGTGCCAGCATAACGCACCATGAGGTGACAACGACACGCTGCATCGTCCGGGAACACAAAGCAGCAAAGCAGAAGCACTTATCCATCATTAAGTGATTCTTCTACCTTACAGCGGACAGAACAAGAACGTGCCGGCACGCTTTTACACACGCGGCACGGCAGTGATGCACCAGGGAGCTTCTCAGCCACTTTACGGTCTCCGAGACCGAGACGACCGCAGACCAAGAGCCCGAGCAGCACCCCGCGCTGCCGCAGGTGGAGGCCCGAGGCGGGAACAAGCCTGCCCCGCCTGCTGCCCAGAGCTCCTCGAAGGACTTGCTCCGATCCCAGGCAGGGGCTGCTCTCAGCGCTGGCTGGCGTGGCAGACACCTAACTCTCCTCAGAAGGTCCGACACAATGCGGACTCCGCGCGCCCTCAGGACGAGGCACGGAACGGCGGCAGCAGCTGCCCTCAGCACAGCGCGCTGCTCTCCTCCCGCCTCACAAGCAGCAAACCAGCGGGCACCGGCTGTCAGAGCCCGTCTGTTTACCCGCCCTAGAAGGCTCGAAAGCCCGTCCTCACGCCGCTCGTGCCAAAGGCCGGGCAGACCCGCAGCACGCAGCCCGGCCAGAGGAGCCGCGCGGCGCGCGCCCTCCTCCCGCCGCCATCTCGCGGCCGCAGGGCGGGCTGACGGCCGCGCGCAGCCCTCGCGCCCACCTACCCACGCGCGGAGCACCGCCTCCATGGGGCTCGCGCCCTTCTCGCCGCTGCCGGGGAGGAAGAGGCGGGGCGGGACGGGGCGAGGCTGCGGATCAGCACGGACGGCCGCCCGGAGGCGGTCGGAGAGGAAGCGCCTTCAGTTGGGCTGCTGCGCCTGGAAGGGCTGGGTGCCGTCGTGGCTGCGTGCTGCTCACGCGGAGCCCGAAGCAACCCGCCTGCATCCAGACAGCCCGGCTGGGCGCCGCGGCCGATCACGCAGACCTCAGCGGAAACCTTTAGAAGGGAGAAGACAAATCGCTTCTCACTGAAGCAGTTTGCAAGAGAATGAAGGCACGGGTGCAGAAAACCCCTTGTCGCAGTATAAAACACGCAGCCTCAGTCAGAATGGTTTGTGTTTATTGCTGAAGTGGTGAAGGAAAATTCTACCTGTTCTACCCATTTCCAGCAGGATGGTACACGTTTACTTAGTTGACATTTAAAGCCTCCACAACGGTTTAAAATATGTAAATTGTTAATGCTCTACCTAGCCAGAAGGGTTGGATGTTGAAGCTGAAGGTACGTGTTGTTAACAACGCGAAAACGCACCTGCCCTACATTGCTGGCAGCACATCGCTGCCATGTTTTGTTACACTGATGCAAATAAAGACACCATTCCTGTTTGTTTTCTCCCCAGCAGTACCCGTGCTAATGCAGCAGGTGTGAGGTCTGCGGCTCACAGTGTAGCTCAAAGATTTCAAGTAACACAGACCTGTATTCCAACACCGTAACAACCTTATCGTTTCTAAAATGCAGCTGAATGGTTGCTGTTAGCACAGAAGCAGACAATACATCTTCCCTTACTACTTCAAAGAGAAGGTTTCTTCTTCAGAACGAGGAAGATCCTAACATCTATTTAAAAGTGTAATGTAAGCTGTAGACCACATTTTCATGCATCCAAAATGTTCTTAGAAAAAAATAATAGCAATGGTGGATTAATAAAGTCATAGGAGAATCATCTAGACTGGATTTAAATAGTGAATGTATTTGGAAAGATGGCTTACAAAGCAGATGCAGCTTATGGGAAGGCATATGAAACAAGGGGAGGGCCAAGAACAGAGGTTCTTGAAAGTCCTTTCCGATTCCCAAAGGACTTGGACCAGCGTATTTAAGATTCCAGTTCATTTTTCCAGCGACCTCCACAGTTGCAAGCTGGATTTTCTCATAGGAACCACATATGGAGAACCAGGGTCTAGGGTGCTATTAAATATACCCTGCACTTCACAAATCATCAATTCAAATTTATTACACCATCCACATGCATAAATTAACTTCATAGACAGGGTTGGCAGCAACAGCAGACAGTACAGCTCCATACAGCTCTACAGGATGCTTGGAAATATGCAGTCCTGAAATCAGGCAACTTTACTGCTATGCTATACAGACAATTCAGCAGGACACCGCTTCCCAACATTCATAAAGAGTTCTTTAGAATAAAATCTCATAGCTGAAAGTATAAATATTTGTGTTCATAGCCACAAGATCCCAGTCACAGAATGGATTGGGTTGGAAGGTATCTTAAAGACCACCCACTTCTAATCCCCTGCAGAGTCACCACCCACCAGATTATAATGCCCAGAGTCTCATCCAACCTAGCCTTGAATGCCTCCAGGGATGGAGATTTCCATCAAATATTTCTACCTTTCACTTATTTGCTTGATGGGGAATACAAGTGTTCAGGCCTAGCAAGGAAGAAGCTAAATTTATCTTCATGCAGTTTGCAAGGTTAATAAAGCAATCAATGGGATGTCTAGGAGACTACAAACTTTGGCCCTCATTTTAAATTCTGGTGTTACTTTAGCACTGGGCTTCTCTTAGTCCTGTGAAACTACTTTGGATATAGGACTGTAATTCTGAAATGGTTTTAGGCTTTGTGCTAAGTCAGAACCTGATGGCTTGCTATAATCCTGGCTACATTTATTCAGCGAGGGAAAAGGCAAATGATATTTCCTTAGTGTCTTCCCTCAGGTGTAACACCATGGACAGCAACAAAAGTCCAAGCTCTTTGAGGTGACAGAAAATCTCCTGAAATAATCAGTTAGGCTTTCACATAATAGCTCTGTACCTCTGTGTTTTACTAGAAACAGGCCACTCAGTACAGCTGCAACTCTTTGGGAGCAAGAATGATCCCTATGAAAGGGAGGTATGACCCCTCCATTTTGTCATAACAAACTTCCAGATATTTGTGTCCCGGTACCTGAGCTGTAATCATTCAAGTTCTGAACCGGAATATTTAAACTTAATAGCACAAAGAAGCACTGATTACTATAGCTTCTATGTTATGAGGTCTACACTACTGCAAAATTAGCAGCACAGGCTACTAGCATCAGAAAGACATTTCCCTGTGCCAAATTGTTCTACAGTTGCCTCATGAGCCACTCTCTGAAGCATCTGATCCTAGCCCTGATCCACAGACCACAGTTTTGCTCCAGCCTAGTGATTTCTCTCTTCCTCTGCTAGCTTCTCCAAGGCAACACCAGGACTTTATCCGCAGGGAATGGAGGTGAAGGAAATACATTCTGCAAGGGACTTTAAACAGAAAAATAAGTTAAAGTGAGTTAAAGTGATTATCTTTACAGGCTATTCACTCTTCCATTAGTAAAGGAAAGTTCTGCATACAAGACGTTACGTGCCTAGAAAGAGACAAGTGGGGAAAAGAAAGAGTTGCTGAGCGCACAACGCAAATGATGGGACTGTTAAACTTCCAGCTGCTTGCCCATCTTGCTGAGGGCATCGCTGACAATGTCCAGCTCATGACGCAGCTCGTTCACCACACTGGCAATGCTCTTGGTGTCTTTCAGGATCTGCACGCTTTGAGTATATGGATTGTACTTCACACCAAATGGACGTTTGATGGTTTTTGCAAACTCTCTATTAAAGCAAACAAAAAAAAAAATAAAGAGGAAGTTTAACCAGAAGACAAACTTATCCTCTGTGTGCAGTCAGTATCAGTAATGACTTTTCAAATCACTTACTTTCTTAATGATCATTATAATTACTACGAAGTTCATCATCTCTCCCATCCAGTACATGGGAGACCAATTAAATATTAAACTCAGCTTTTCAGCCCCATAAAAGGTTATTATAAAATTGTGATAAGAATGAAAGGATCTGGTGCTGCCTCTGAGAAACACAGGAAGTCAAGAAAAAGCGTACCTCATCTTCTCCTTTGCTTCTTCAAAGCTTTCAGAAACAAAGTAAACCTCCTGGAAAGTTGTAATGAGGCATTCTTGCTTGCAGGTGATCTTTGGATCAAAAGGCTTGACTTTGGCACTGCCAGAGAGCGAGTGCTAAGTAACACATCATGTGTTATCATGTGCCAGAGGAATATCGCCACCAAAAGAATCCACAAGGAAGATGATACAGATTAAAAAGTGAATTAAAAAAAAGATGAGGTGAGACCATATTTAGTGCATTGCCTCTTAAAACATGTCTGCAGCTGAACAATGGCTTAAGCATAACAAACGTTATCTCTAAAGGACTGTGTTCTGCCAATACGGGTCAAAGCTGCTTTTAAACAAGAACAATATTTTCAGAATCTGGTTAAAACAGTAGAGTCTTTTTCTGAAAACAGGTTACTTGGAACTGAACGTACATCAATCATTCATTCTGCTTCCTCAGAAGGACACAGGAGCTACTCAGCACATACCCAAAAGCACACTGCCCTGTGACTAACCCCAGTGAACTCACCTAGAAGTCATCCCCACAGTAGGTATATTCAGAATAAATATTGTTAAGAATTATACCTGATAAATAAACGTGGCAGAACAGCGACAAAAATACTCAAGTATGAGCCAAGTAAAGAGGGAAGTAAGCAGTGGATATTCTTACCTTGAGCTCACTAATAGAAGAGAGCAAGCCAGCCCCATAAACTCTTAGTTGTCCCTCTTGCTTGCACAGGCCAAACTCTACAGTGAAAAAGTAGCACTGAAACAGAGAAGGGAGTAAAATAATTTATCCTTCAGCAAAGGTTTTGTGGTGAACTAGATGGGGGCCCTTCTACTCTCGGGAAGTATCAAACACCTGCAAGCCATTACTTGGTTATCGTTCTCAGATATCTAAAGCGAAGGGAACCTAAATAGAAGAGAGAAGAACCATAGGATTATATGTTTCTAATAAGAAAGTCTGATGACATAGCTGGGACAGAAGCTGCTCATCCCAGTAGAAATGTGGCAATTCAATCTGTTTTGAGAAGCACTGTAATGACACGAGAGATTCGGCTTAAAAGAAACACTAGATAGACAGGACCTCAACAATTGAAAGCATCAATCCAATACAGGTTGTTCCTTAGTGGTCTAAAATGTTAAAGATGTTCAGTTTCCTGATGTTCAGGACTCCTGCAGGTATGTGGCAAGGAATGCCATTTTCTTAGATGCTTTACTTCTGGTCTCACTAAAGGTAGCAGAAGCTTTACCACTAGCTATGACTGGCAGTTCTTTTGTAACTGGAATCAATTATTTTTCATGTAAAGTTTTCACCTTTCAGTATTTCTGTCAATGTATCAAGAAACTGTTATCCCAGAACTAAGATTATTTATTTGAACTTCTTGGCTGAAATGTACCGAGTGCTAGTTTCACATTCAGTGAAAACACAACATTTCAATTCATTTTACACACTGAAGTAACAGTTCAATGTTTTTATATCTAATCTATGTTTTCAGAAGTAGGAAGATATTTTCTGGAGGAAACAGACCACAGAATTTCAAGCTGGAAGAAGTTATCTACCCCTAGAAGTTGCATACTTACTTGACCTATGTGAAGTAAGAAAAATACCTGTCACATCATTCTTAAAATGTATTTTTTTCCTAGCATGGAAACTTGTTCTATGCTCTAAAGCTAAGAGTCAGGTGTAGCAGCTGGTGCAGCTAATGTTGAAATGAATCTCCAAATTAATTAGAGCTAGAGGGATCAGCTGAATTGAAGCTCCAAGCTTTAAGTGGGATCACTGGGCACTGAAACACTCACTGTTGCCAGTTTTTGGACAGCCTCATCTGATGCCCCAAGTGATGCAAGACCAATTTCCTGGGAGAACTGAGCAAAACTGGGTTCAGCCAAAAGAGGGACATGGCCTAGGAGCTCA